ATCCAGCTTGATTTCTCATTTCCTACCTCAGGACTCAATTTTTGGACCTATTCTTTTTTATTTTATTTTATTTTTTTGTAGCTGGCTCAGCCCACCCTGAAGGCGGGGCTGGTGCAGCATGTGGTGCTGGGGAGCAATATGTGGTCCGTCCCTGCACTTGCCTAAGCTTGCCCAAGCAGGGGCTTTAGTCCGCTGAGCTATCTCACTGGCCCATTTGGACCTATTCTTGTTACTATCTATATTGTACTTTTGGTTTGGGTAGTTTAATCTCCTATACAGCAGTGATGGTAAGAGCATTCAATGATACCAAACTGCCAGCTGCGACACACATACCTTAAGTTTGCCATCACTGCTACATAAGAGAACATCTACATACTGACAACTCCTAAATTTGTCTCTCTACCTGGACCTCCCAATCGAGCTCAGCCTGCACACCCAATTGCCTGACATCTCCACTCAGAGAGTCAATAGGTTGTTCAATATAACAGGACCTAAATAATGCTGGGCTTTCCCTCCATACCTGCTCCTCTTCATCTCAGTAAATAGCACTTCATTCCACCTAGTTATTCTAGCCACAAATTAAGGAGCTACCCTTGATTCCCCTCTTCCCTTGCCTCTCACATCCAATCTATCAGCTGGTTATGATAGCAAGACCACCCCAGCACATCGCACACTTGCTGGCCCTTCTTTCTCCAAGGTTCCCTCTGCTCCCTTGGCCTAACTTCTCCCTCTCATGTGGATTTCTGCTACAGTCTCTCAGCTCCCATTCTTGCCTCCAGCAAACAGCCATTCTCTAAGCATCCACTGGAAGAACTTTAAGAAATTAATCCTGTTACTCCTCTGTTTAACAGCCCCCAGTAGTTACGCTCACTACTCTCAAAATTGTAAATCCTTATTCAGACCTGCAAGGCCACGTGGCTCACTCCTCTCGCTTCACCTCACGCCCCTTTCTCTCACTCACTACAATCAGTCTCCCTGGCCTTCTTTCTGTTTCTCCCGGATGTTTCTCTTCTTCTTGTTGGGAATTTTACTCAGATTCCTTAGGTATTACATTTCTTAAATGGTGCTCCTCAGAGCCCACCCCTGATTACCCATCATTTTCTATGGAATCATGGATACTGTTGTCTCTTTATTTATTTTTTGTGGCCAGCTAAACCCATCCTGGGGGCGGGGACAGCACAGCATGTGGTACCAGGGATTGAAATGCAGTCCCTGCACACTTGCCCAAGCTTGCCTAAGCAGGTGCTTTAGACCCCCGAGCTATCTCGCCAGCCTGTTGCTTTACTTTCTATCACCCCTGCCCTCCAATGGCGACAACTTTGCTCTCCACTATGTTTCCAACTCCTAGTGCATGTCTGGCACACAGCAAACACTCAGTTTATATCAACTAAATGATCAAAGGGTAATAGACTAAATGAGCAAGAAGAGAGGCATCTTCTCCCTCCAGACTGCAGAGAAAAAAGGAGAAAGCAAATGGAAGCAGCTAGATATGCCTCTAAGTTCTTGTCAATTTGAAAATCCTGTGAAAATACCTCATCTACTAAGGCTTACAGGGAAAGGCTTTAAGAAAGTGGCTCCAAGTTATTCAGGGGAAACAGGAGAGAAGGCCAAAATATAGTAGAAGAGAGCCCATTGAGAGCCATTGAGAACCCATCTGATACTGGAACCATAAATTTACAGTGTGAAATATCCACTCATTTATGAGATAATATCCATAAAACTATTTTGGTTAAAAGATTTTAGAAAACTGACTATAGAACTCTTTTCTTTCCCTCCCCTCCCTTCCCCTCCCCTCCTTGCCACTTCCTCCTCCTCCTCCTCCTCCTCCTCCT